TTTTGAGTTCGCTCCAGACTGACTGAAGCCAGCACTGCAAACTTGGGGTCCGGCTGTGTGAAACGAAGCGAGGCTGAATCGAGCCTGTGTGAAGTGAAGAGAAATGATAAGGCCAGCGTTTGTCTCACAGGAACGTAATGACGTACGATGATGAGTGACATACGCTGTGCGCTATGCACTGCTGACAGAGGGAGACAGACACATCTCTCAAATAGTAGTAGTGATATATATATATATATATATACTCAAAATTTGATAGGGATCATAGGAATTTTTTTGTGAAATGACATGCAAATTTGGTAACTGCAACTGATGAACAATATATTGGATAAATGACATGCAGTCAGACACAAAACACATTTGCAAGTGCATTTAATGACATTAAATGAGCGTGCAGCCTCACACTTTGGCTTTCACGAACACTTCATGGTTTCACCTCTGACATGTAAAGTGAAAACAGACAGTGTTCGTTTGATGTTTCATTACCACAGTTAATGTCAATAACGGGTATGGCCTCCCCTAGCTTGAATGACGGCTTGACAACGTCGGGTCATACTGTCAATCAGAACCCGGATGCTTGCAATTGGAATGTTGTTCCATTCTTCAACAAGGGCATTTCCGAGCTCTTCTAGAGTTGTGGGTTGTGCCCTCACGACCGAAATGGCGACCTGCAACATGTTCCACACATGCTCGATAGGGTTTAGGTCCGGCGATCGCGCTGGCCAGTCCATGCGGACAATTGTCTCCTGCTCTAGGAATTGATTCACCACCCTAGCACGATGGGGACAGGCGTTATCATCCATCAAGATGAAATCAGGACCAACAGCACCAGCGTATGGTCTTACGTACACATTGAGGATCTCATCCCTGTACCGTACCCCTGTCATCGTCCCTCTCCCCATGACATGCAGGTCCGTTCTGCCGTTCCTGCTTATTCCTCCCCAGACCATAATTGATCCGCCACCATAACGGTCGTGTTTGTTGATGTAGGCATCATTAAATCGCTCACATTGTCTTCGCCACACCCGTTGCCTCCTGTCAGTAAAGTCCAAGCAATATCGGGACTCATCAGTAAAGAGAACTGGAGCCCAATCGTTGTGTGTCCATGTGACATGATCATGAGCCCAATCCAAACGGTCACGCCTATGACGCACGGTCAGTGGGATTCGAACACATGGCCTTCTTGAGTTGAGGCCGGCAGTATGAAGACGATTCCAGATCGTCTGGTGGATACCCTGACCCCGAGGCGTTATGAAGGTCATTTCGTGAGGGTGGTGGCTGTCCAGAAAGGTTGACGTCGTGCCTGAAGTGTGAGAAAGTGGTCTTGTCGTTGTGTAGTCGATCTCTGGCGACCACCCCCATGACGGTGTGCTGCTGTACCAAACGTTTGATGCGGTTCCACGCTCTGTTCACAACGCTTTGGCTGACGTTAAAGTACATTAGCAACGTGACGCCAGAGAAGCCAGAGTCAAGCATTCCGATGCATCTTCCCAATTGCTCTGAAGTCAATCGACGTCTAAGACGTTGAGGAGACATTGTTATTGCTAAATGTAATGCAAAAAATTTGGGAACTTCCAAATTTTCACCAACAAGCAACACACACGTCTGAGTTGAAATGGTGAAGTGTTAGTCAAAGCCAAAATGTGAGGCTGCACGCTCATTTAATGTCATGAAATGCACGTGCAAATGTGTTTTGTGTCTGACTGCACGTCATTTATCCAATATATTGTTCATCAGTGGCAGTTACCAAATTTGCATGTCATTTCACAAAAAAATTCCTATGATCCCTATCAAATTTTGAGTAGTATATATGTGTGTGTGTGTGTGTGTGTGTGTGTATGATTATTATCTAGTAGTTGCAGTGCTTTACTGAAGCTACATCACTCCCATATTGAGTGAAATATGGACCCAGGATGCCATGTTTATGGTTACATGCATTAAATCAAAAAGAAAATATCAAGATCTTGTGCATGATTTTACATACATTTCCCTGTGCTTTAGCAGGGCATATTTGGGATCTTTGGAAATTTTGGGATCTCTAATAGAATTCAAGGGGTTATTTCCATTAGTGCTCAAGTCCATATTCATTAAAAATCAGATAACACTACAAATCCATTCTTTCATTGATGAGTAATTAGCCACAAAAGCTAATTTTGGCCAAGAAGCACTCAAGTGCAATATAAAATGAGTAGTGAATCGGAAATTCCCCAAGAAGCTACTTCTAGTGGTGACAAAGTCCAGTCTAAAACTTCTACAAGTGCACAAGTCCAGTCAGCCAATCAAAGAATCGCTTAGAAAATTGGTTGGCCAATAGCAGTCACTGTAGCTTTCTTACCAAACCAAAATGGCGGACTCTACAGTCCAGGATGTGTGTGTGGACTGGACTCAACCCAAAAAAGCTGAAAAAAGACCCAGGCAGCCAGAATAATGGGCTAAGAACAAGGGAAAAAGAAGTCTGGCAAGAGGTAATCTTTTATTAGCTGCTTATTCTTTGGCTGAACTTTCTAATTACCATGCCACATCCCTATCGATGATGAATGAAGTCTTTAAACCTGTTTGGATGGGGGTACTGCCCATTCATAATTTATGGAGATTGGTTTTTACTGTGACCTTTGCTCAGCTGCATTTACCTTCCATTTCACTGTATAGAGCTTCCATTCATTTTGTTCAAGAAGCTTTTTGACATCTATAACTATACTGCCCTACAAAGCCTAAGTGCAGTTACTACATTTTGGGTAAAATGTGAGTTACACAGTTTTGGGCATGAAGGTATCTGGAGGTCAGGATTTATTTGGACAGAAATTATACCATGATAAGTCAGTTAACTATAATCTATCATAGATGTGCTAACTATTCATTTGTTGGGACCGCAAACAAACTCTGAAGCCATGTTTCACCGTTTAAATTATTATGTAGATACTGCACTTAGCCTTTGTAGGGCAGTATAGTACACTGGTATGACATATTTGCTGTTCATTTTCATTAGAAAGTGGTGTGTTTTGTTTTCAAAAAGGTGCTCTATTTTCATACTCTGAAATAAAATTTAATGCCATGTACCAGCCGGTATTTTTGTATTTCTGTTTCAACTATTTCAACTATTATTTCCAGATGTTTTTAACATAAGTTGTGGTACAACCCCTAAAAGTCTAATTACTTTTCTAATTGTGTGTGGAATAATAAATTGTTTTCAAAGCGCCACCAGATATTCAAATGACAATAGAGTCCAAAACCACTTATTAATCACAAACATTATACACTTTTTATTTGCCACTGATATTATGGAAATGAGCACCTTGATCCATGCTGTAATTTTTGGAAATGAAATGTCTTTCTGATATTAAAGAAGTGAATTTCACTGACCTCTTGAGGGATGGACAAAGTAGCCTTATGCCGCTTTCACACCGGACGCGAAACGAATTTTTCGCACGATGGTTTACATTCAAAGTCAATGCAAAGACGCGAATACACGCGAAGAACGCTTGTAATCGCATCTTTGCATTGACTTTGAATGTAATCTGTCGTGCGAAAAATTTGTTTCGCGTCCGGTGTGAAAGCAGCTGTAGAGAGCCTACCACTTAATCAATCCCACAATGTTCTGGGTGCTTTTACAAAGAGAGTCTGCAGCTGGAGCTTCTAGAATAAGTGTGATTACGCATTGATCTGTTCATATATCCCTGATCCATACCCTGAAAACAGAATAATTGAATTGCGGTCGTGGTTCTTGAGAAGTGATACACCCACTCAAGAGACTTTCAGTGTCCACTGTGGAGCTGTCATGACTAACACCCCTCACTTTTTCTAGTCTAGACTACTGTTTCAGGTTATGTCTGTCTGTCCATGTGTGAGTCCAGGCGTTCATGCGTTCCGTCTTTGGTGGGGGACTATCGCGGGCTCTGACTGGCTTGTTTCCTTTTAATGCTTATGTTGAGCACTGCATGAGTTTACATGCCTCTTTGGACATTTTAGCTTTTTATATTGATGTGTCTTTTTTAAGCATTTTCTTTACATGGAACAGTAAACAGGTAAAATGATAGAAATTCTACTTCAGATATTTTAAAGCACAGAAATTTTTTTTTTTAGTAAAACTCTCCGTTTATGTGAATGCAAATGTGACTGAAATGGAAGCAGAGTAGTGGTTATGCATTCATTGTGTTGGATTGATTTTACCCTAGGCTAGTTCCTGTCGCAGCTTAGATGCTTTGTCCGTGTTTTTCCTGTCAGTGAAATACAGGCTGTCTGCACTTTTGAAACAGCAGTGCATTAATTAAGCCTTTAGAGATTTCTTTTTATATGCATCTTAAGTCATGCAGCTTGTGCAGAGCCCATACCAGCCTCCTGGATGAATTTTCTTTAAGGCTCCTAATCTGCAACTGTATGGGATACACTTTAATTAATTGGAATAATTATGCAGCTAAGATAGTAATGGTTCCTTGAATCTGAGAAAATGGCTTAAATTATGCTTACACGTGCACAATGAGATCCACTGCAAGAGCACTCCCTCCCTGAGTCTCCTGCACACAGTCAATCATGCATACACAGTTGCACATACACAGGTATGCGCAAAGCCATTAAAGTTGTGATTTAAAATGCTTGTTTTAGACCATAGAAAGCCAAAGGGCCCAGTGCAATTGAATGTCATCAGCTCATCTGACTGCACTTCCAGGGCATCTCAATTATTCAGGATAGGAAGAGCGGGATGGAGAGAGTGCTGCTACGGTGCAAATAACAGGCTTGTCCTCTGGGCAGCGGGAAAGCGCCTGACGGATGCCTGTCAGCTCTCGCCAATAAACTCGCCGTGTAATTACCAGCGCGCTGTCGCTTAACAGAAGAAGGTGCTTTCTGGGAGGGGTATTTGCGGACCAAAGCTGAGCTCAGTAGTGACTCCACAGATAAACGTGCTAAACACCCTCCGCACTGATTATTTTGTTGATTTTCTCTATGGCACTTTAGCTGCTGCTTAAAATATCTCCGATTTCCTCCAAGTGATGCACTGTGTAGGCGGCACTGTGGCACAGTGGGCAGCGTTGTTGCCTTGCAGCAAAAAGTTGTGGCTTCGAATACAGCCTGGGACCTTTCCACTTGGAGTTTGCATGTTTTCCCTGTGTTTGCGTGGGTTTCCTCTGGGTTCTGTGGTTGCTGGAGTCTCTACATATCCCAAAAAGTGAGTGCGTCAGTGAACATCGAGTGATCCCTGTAGTGGATTGGCAAACTGTTCACGATGCAATCCTGACTTTGGCCCATTCATGGTGGATCGGCTCCACCCCCACTCCCCCACCCCTGACCAGAAAATAGGTGCAATAGGTAATGGATGAGATGATGTATGGTGCTTACAGTGGGTCCTCACCAATTAGGTAGGATTTGTTAAATACCGAATTTAAGAGCCATTAGGAGCTGCAGATCCATTAATTGGTCTGCCTGCATATTTATGCAGGAGTTTGGCTGCGCAGTGATTAAAAGCTGTCTAGATGTAATATGAATGCGTGCATAAATCAGGCAGTGTGATGCATAATGAGAGGCTTGTCCTTCAGCTCCCTCAAACAGACAAAGGATATTTCACCATAGAGCGCAAACTTTTTATGTCGGGTGTGATTGGTAATTCCTGCCCATTCAAGCAGTCTAACCAATTAGAAGCCCTGATTGTTAAGTTAATTAGTTTATTACCTGGGAGAAAAGAAAATCCAGGCTGAACAGGATTTTAGTTCTGGATGTGGTGATCCCAGTTCTAAAGCAAACTGTAAGTTAGGAAATAAGGCTTCCCAGTGCTCTTTGGTTCCCCCCACAGGCTGCCAAAGGTACTTTCACCCTCCCCCAAAAGGGGCACCTATTGTGTAGTACCATGCATATCCACCCTCTGCTGACCATCCTTTTAATCTGAACCAGAGAAGCGGTGTCCATTTTCCACATGACGGGGTCTAATTCAATCTGCTGTTGACATCATCCCGTGTGGTTTTTCAGGGCTGAACAATTGCACACAGTGGACAGGCTTGGTCTATCAAGGCCCAAGATGCGATCTTGCGCTGCTTAACACGTGTCAGTGTCAAGCCGATGTCTCATCTGCTGTTTTATTTAGTGAAATTATTCCACAGTTAACATTCTTCTCACAGAATGATAAGTCACACACTTCCTCCTGTCAAAGTCGATGTATAATTTGATTCTATTCTTTTTCTACACTGGAACACAGTGAGCTGTTGAATATGCATTAGTTTGGCAAGTCTTCTCTTAATCCAAATGACTGACAGCGTGGCATTAACATTTGATAGAAAATGGAGATTTCTCTATAGATGGCTTTCCATACAGTTGTTATCCGCTCGACGGATTCTAAGGCGATCTCCAAAACCTTGGACCGCAGTTCTATGCTGTAATTGTTGCTGTTTTCTCCAAGACTCTGAATGAACTTGTCATCTCCTCGGCCCCTCTTTCACTGTGGCTCTTTTGAGGTCTCAAACACGGGGCCATTTGTGGCTTGGTTGTTTTGCCGTCCCGACGACCTGCCCTGTTAATTGGGCCAACTTCATTTCACTGAGAATGGTCCAGTGGGCAATTGGCGACACAAAGTGTAAAATAAAAAGGGGCCAGAAAGTCATTTTTTTGTCCAAATGCGGCTCACAGATCAGGACATCAGTATTCGGGACATGCAGTGATCTGGAGGGCAACAAAGAGGCCAGAGACAGTGAGCAGACTGGGAGAGAGAGACGGGCGAACACAGTGGGGCCTTTGATGGCGAATTCTAAATGCTCTGCTTCTTTTCCCGCCAGTTTTTTTCCCTCTTTTCGCCTCCCTTTAAAGCAGAAAAAGCTTTTGAGCTCCCAGTCAAATGAATCGTTAACTATCTCTGCAACGGCTCGGGAGAAAAATAAAACAAAAGATGAGAAGCTATCCACATTTTCAGTTGGTTGCCCGCTCCCCATTTTCAAAACCATTCTCTTGTTTCCCTCTATTTTCAGAGTCAGACTGTGGCTGGCGGCCATCTCTGCAGTCGGAGGACCCCAGGCGCTTCCCTCCTCCTGTCCGCAGCCTCTGGAGACTCATGGTCTTGTTGGCACAAGCTTTCCAAAGCAGGTGAGTTCGAGAAATGCGCCACCTCCCTGTGCAATGGCTACCTTCAGCCATTTTTCCAGCTTGGATTTATCATGGGGCCCTCTAAGGAAGAGACGGCAGCTTGGAGGAAAAGGTGTCAATGAGCCAGGCCTACGCTGAATTTTTACACTGAAGGTCCAATAGACCAGTAGAAGTCTGTCCGGTTAGGGAGACAGCGAGGAGAAGAAGGGAGACGTGAATTTGAGAAAGGGAGTGAAGTTTAGGGGAGTAGTCATGAGCGTGCCTCTCGGGCGGTCACGCTGCCGTTCCCAAGCTCAACCTCCTGAGGGGAAGATGGGATAGAGGCAATGCATTCCTAATTAGGGACGGGATCTGACTGTTGGCAGTGTGCTTGCAGATCACAGGTGGTTACCACTGACTCCCCACTGCAGCACGCATACACACCGAGCACCACAGTTTACGCTCTGATTTTTTCTTGCTGGTCAATACAAATGGAAAGGATTCATTTTTTCCCACCAAATCTAAAAAATCCAATCACCAGTGGTGTTGGTATTTATGTAGTGAACAAATTCATTCTCTTCAGGTTGACTCAAGAATAATAACTTCATTTAACTCGGTTTAGATGTTTATAGAATTCATCTCTGCTTAAAGTTAATGCAGTGTTATTTCAAATACAGTCATGCAAAAAAAGCTTGCAGAATCCTTGCTTTTTAGCACTTGATTATGATTACCTGGTTCCCATTTTTGTTTGTCTGAATAACACTCAAACTATTTGTTGACGTAGGCCTAATAATCAAGACCAATATGTTGCCTACAATGATCAAGAAATTATGGCAACAAAGGGATTGCTTACAGGCTATATTTACGCATGACATGTTGCGCTGTTACAGTGGCAATAATCTGAATAACTGCAAAAAAAGCAAAACTTTATCCTAATTTTATCTCTCGTTTTTCTATTTTTTTCCAGCAATGTAGGCCTACTGCAACTTAACATACCACTTTTTTTTTTTTTTTTTTTTTTTCAAAATGTTCAGGTATTTAAACAATAAGTTTAAAGGGTAAGAGAGAGTCGTACCAAACCAGATCAACCACCAGGGCGAAACAGATTTTGGCTCCGCAAATCTGAGCCATTGCATGAGCTACATGACTTTAGACTCCTCAGAAAACAGTCAATGTTAATGTGAAAAGGCACATGCCTCATAACATCATGATGCAATTAAGAATAATGCGATCAAAAATAGCTAAACTGGCCAGTCTTTCCACCAGTTAGTCGCAATACACAAGTAGTCCTTTGGTTACAAATGAGGAGAACTAAACCGTTGCAGGTTCAAATAAGTTAACGGGGACATATTATGAAATACTTTTTCAGCTTTTGTGCGTATCCATTTCAGTATCTGGAGTGCATAAGAACCCACTAACTGTGAAGTGAAACAAGTCAACCATTTCTTTTGTGGGCTGCCTTTTTCATAAAACATGGCGTTTGGCTTGGCATTCAGATTTTGCTCCCCTTCCTACGTCACATACAGGCTTGTGAAAATTGTTCTGCCTCTCATCTGAATATCTCCACCCAGGGCTTATTTTTTTGTGGCAACATCCCAGCTTCAGTTGGCAAAAGCCCATTACTTGGGGTATGCGTGCTGCCCACATTTGTCTGACAGCTTTATATTACTAACCTGGATCAATGCAACGCAGGACTCGCAACAAAATATATATTGAAGAAGCCGTGGTTTCAATTTATTTTCAAGGACAATCTGCTGCTAGCTAGCTAGCTAAGAAAGTGCTTCCAATGTCTGTTCATACTCAACCTGAATTCCAAGTGTAACCTTAGTTAAGCATGTATGGCTAGGTTGTTGATGTAACTTGAAAGCAACCTAGCTGAGTTCTGCTCTCGAAACTAGCTTACTTAGCTAGCATGCACGCATTACCTCTCTTTAATCATTGTGTGGTTTATTAGCTAGCAACTGCATTGACTGCGACTTTAGAGACCATTGCTAGCTCAGCCAAAGCAAAGAATGAGACACGTTGATTGGAAAATATAGAATGGGTGACTGTCTTTAATAAAATTCTGTCTAGTTTTAATGGGGTTCGTGGAGCAGTAAATGGAATATTAGCTGATGGTTTCAACTATACAGATGTTAGCTATGGCTCATCCTTAACATTAGAGGCTGAATTACAAGTGTAGTGCAACTATAATGGTGACTGCATGTCAAACTTCTGAGAATATAATGTCCTTGCTTGCTTAGCCTGCAGACACTATCTTTCCAGACTAATTGTGGTATTTTAATGGCTAGCTTGCAAGCAACTTATTAAGTCATCTGTATATAGAGACGTGTCAGTTGTCGGGGATTATGACATTGTCGCTCTCGGTTGACATGGTGGCTCTGTTCACTGGCTCACTTTTTTAGAGGGATAGGAATGACAGGAATCAAAGTGCCTAGAAATTGTGGAAATTTGTTTTTTTTTTTTTTTTTTTTTTGCTGAAAAGTATATAAACTTCCTATCTGGACTTCCAAGAATTTTATAACTTGAAAAAAGCATCATAGGTCCGATGCGATGCAAGGTTAGGGTACTACTGGCCATACATAACCCCAGCAGTAGGCCACTGTGTTCAAATAATGCTTTGGCAACAGGATGAAATGCATATGGGCCCTTTAATCTACAGCACTAATAACTTGCATGTTCAGTATTTGGGCCAGGTAATAAAATAGGCTGCCCAGACCACAGGTAAGCCTTTTAATTTAGCTTTTGCTGTTTGCCAACAATACACTTTGCGGCCAACTTGAAACAAATTTACCTTATGTTTCTTAGCAGCATGTAATGGCCATTATCCGTGTGATGTTCTCCTCCTGAACAGCCGAAGACTTTGTAATGCAGTCAGTTATTCAACTGCGGTGAGCTAGTACCATCTGGATAAAGTATTTTCCTAAAACGTTAAGTGAAGAAATATTTGATTTGGCTTCAAGCAAAGTCCCTGATACGATTGAATTAAAATGGATCTACTAATGACCACAAACATCACCTTCCTCACAGCTTG